GAGTGCAGTGGCACAATCTCAGTTCACTACAACCTCTACTACCTGGGTTCAAGCAATTCTCCTGCCTCAGCCTCCCAAATAGCTGCGATTACAGGTGTCTGCCACTGTGCCCAGCTATTTTTGTAGTTTTTAGTAGAGATAGGGTTTCACCATCTTTACTAGGCTGGTCTTGAACTCCTGATCTCATGATTCACCTACCTCAGCCTCCCAAAGTGCTGGGATTATTACAGACGTGAGTCACCGTGCCCAGCCAGTTGATCATTTTTTAAGGCTCAGTTAAAGCATTGTGTCCTCTGGCAAATCGTCTCTACCTGTCCATCAGGCTGAGCCTTTGGGAAGCTTACTATAGCATCTTCTGCTTTGTCATTGACTGCCTGCAATGTAAGACTCTGAGGTCCAAAGTGAGAGGCCGTGGCCCCGGCACTCCAGCACATAAGGGTGGTAGCTGTGTCCCAGCACCCAGCTCAGAGCCAGTGCTCAACAAGTGTTTATGAATGAATGGATCACCTTTACCCTCCTTTATTTACCAACACTCTCCTGATCGCTGCCTAAATTGCTCATTATGCAACTGCTACCAGTTTACATAATTGCCAATTAAATTTTTCCTTTAGTTAGTTACCCTGTTTTAATTTTATTACGTTCAATTTATGGAAGTTCTTTTTATTTATGTTTTTTTTTTGAAAGAAGAAAGTAAGGAAGAAAAAGAAAGAAAAAAGAATAAAAGAGAAAGAAAGAGGAAGAGAAAGAGGGAGAGAGAACAGGAATCTTGCTCTATTGCCCAGTCTAGAATGCAGTCTAAAAATGGGTATTAAAAACCTCTTTTATGCCAATAAATGTGCTTAACAATGGAGACAGGAAGGAATAAGGGAGGAAAATAACAAACAAACAGCCAACCAATGTCATTTAAACCTGTGAAATGCTATGCAATTACTGAGGAGTGATTTACTTCCAATTATGTGGCCACTTTTAAAATAGGTGTGATGTGATACTGAGAAAAATGTATGTTTTGTGGATTTGGGGTGGAGAGTTCTGTAAATGTTTATTAAGTTTACTTGTTCCAGGTCTCAGTTCAAGTCCTGGATATCCTTTTTAATTTTCTGTCTCATTGATCTATCTAATATTGACAGTGTAGTGTTGAAGTCTCCCACTATTATTGTGTGGGAGTCTAAGTCTCTTTGTAAGTCATTAAGAACTTGCCTTATGTATCTGGGTGCTCCTGTATTGGGTACATATATATTTAGGATCGTTAACTCTTCTTATTGAATTGATCCTTTTACCATTATATAATGTCCTTCTTTGTCTCTTTTGGTCTTTGTTGCTTTAAAGTCTATTTTATCAGAGACAAGAATTGCAACTCCTACTTTTTTTTTTTCCTCTCCATTTGGTTGGTAGATCTTTCTCCATCCCTTTGTTTTGAGTCTTTGTGTATCCTTGCATGTGAGATGGGTCTGGATACAACATACCGATGGGTTTTGGCTTCTCAAAGAAGAAAAAAACCTTTTGCAGATAGGGTTCACAAATTTCTCTTTTGACCAGGAAGTGGCCATTTCTCTGAAAACAAAGACAGAGTGGGCATTAGCAGTAGGACAGTCATAGCTTTTGTCTGTGTACTGAGCATTTGGAATAGGCCTGTAGGTTATTACAAACAGCTGTACAGGATAATTGGCTGTTAAAGGCCAGCTGAAATGAGTTAGTAAACTTCAAGTTCAATAACCAGAGAGCCAAATGGAAAAGGCAATAGTAAAGCACGCATCAGGGAGGGTCTGGAATGGAGAGAGGAAACGTCATCTAACATGCCATGGGCCTCCTTTTCCCATGCTGCAGGTGAAGATGCTGAGGTTTGGAGAGGTTGTGAATGACAGCGTCCAGAACTTGGATGTGCAGAGCTCGGAATAAAGCCAATTTTAACTCACTCCAGAGGTACTTCAGAGGCTTGAAGTAAAGGCCAGGTCAGGGCAGCCAGGTGAAATCCGTGATACTGGCTTGAGGCTCATGGGTGCAAGTAGCTGGTCCACAAACAGACAGACTTGTACATTTTCAGGACTACTCACTAGTTAGCTTAACAGAGCCTGACCTAGCCGGGGGCTTATATGGACTCCAATAACCGTGGCATGGGGACAAGGGCCCAGCTGGGAGAGAGTTTTATGTCCGAGATGACAGGATGGGTGTGCGAAGAGAAGTTAAGAAGAAAGTTCTTGTGGAGGGAGGAAAGAACCCAGAAGCTGCCAGTACATTTCATAATACATTTTGATAAGCTCACTTCAGTGTCCCAGGTAAGCTACTGTAGGTAGAAATAGTCTCATTTTAATAAAGATGATTGTTTTTCCTTGTGAAAATAATAGGTCATTATAGAAAGCATGGAAAATACAGCAAAAGGAAATGGGGAAAATATATTCTTAATTGGTAAAACAACTGCTATTAAAATCTGCTGTCATTTTTCCAGTTTTTTTAATTCATGTAATTCCTATTATTGTGATCACGAATTGTGGTTTTCCTGCTTTTGTCACTTAACACTGCAAACAAGCATTTTCCATCTTATTAGCATTTAGCGTTACATGTAATTATACATATTTATATGTACATTATTATAATTTAGAGAAGTATAAACTATTCTATTATATGTATATATCACAGTGTACCTAACCTATTGTCGGGCATTTCTGTTAGAAGATGTGATGTACTCCAGAATGGAATCACTGGACCAAATACACAGTTTTAAGGACTTGAGACAGGACTCCAGCAGGGCTGGATTCTCACTTGGGTCTTTTTAGAGTAGTACCTATTCCTGGGTTTGATCCTCAAACTTGACTTACCCATAATCAAGTTTTCTCAGTACTGGGAATAATTCGTTCTTAGGAGTTGTATAGGAGTTAACTAAAACTAATTTACAATAGAAATCAGATGTACCACATGGTCACTGTGGAACTCATTAGTACTAGTTGTCAAATATTTCTGCTCTCTGCCTCCTAGGCACCCTATAGGATTATACTGCCTGCTCCCTGAGGGTGACTGGAGCCTGTGTCTAGCTCTGAGGAGCTGTTTGGAACTGAACACTTATTTGCAGGGGAAACTCTCCTTGCCTCTGTCACTGTAACTGGTGATGCTCAAGAGGGTGTCTGCTCCATCAGCTCACAGAGAGAATGTGGGCAAGAAATACAAGTGAAAGCCCCTGAGACTTGGAAGTTGGCTGTTAGTGCAGCGTCAGGATGCTAGCTCCTCCTGACTGCCGTGGAGAAGATATTCACATTGTTATGCCCAACATAGTTAATCTCTATAAATAGAAATCAATCAAAGTTAAAAGATTGCTGTTAGGATTCATCAGAGTAAAAGAAACTATGTGTCTATTTCAGGTGTTTCACAGCCCTTGATTAAGGTACTGTAACCTTATTAAGACTTCCTCCCGGCGCGGTGGCTCCAGCCTGTAATCCCAGCACTTTGGGAGGCCGAGGCGGGTGGATCACGAGGTCAAGAGATCGAGACCATCCTGGTCAACATGGTGAAACCCCGTCTCTACTAAAAATACAAAAAAATTAGCTGAGCATGGTGGCGCGTGCCTGTAATTCCAGCTACTCAGGAGGCTGAGGCAGGAGAATTGCCTGAACCCAGGAGGTGGAGGTTGCGGTGAGCCGAGATCGCACCATTGCACTCCAGCCTGGGTAACAAGAGCGAAACTCCGTCTCAAAAAAAAAAAAGACTTCCTCCCCCCAGATAGTTTGCGCTGAGCAATGCCAACATTTTCCTTCCCGAGTCTCCTTTTTGCACTTTAATGTTGGCCAAGCCAACTTCTAAGGGTCACAGTCTTTCTTTAATTGTTGTTGTTTTATTTAAAAAGTCACACCATACACTATTTAACAAACGACTACTTTTTTTTAACTTTTGTGTATATTGTTTTGAGACAGAGTCTCTCTCTGTTGCCCCGGCTAGAGTACAGCAGTGCAGTCTCAGCCTCTGCCTCCCAGGTTCACGGGATTCTCCTGTCTCAGCCTCACAAGTAGATGGGATTACAGGTGCCCACAGCCGGCTAACAAATGAGGACTTTAGAATCAAATGAAGTAAAGTGTAAAAGACCTGCTTTCTCCCTCCCCTACCGGCCCACTTCCTGGAGTTCAGTTTGGAATGTGCCCCTCCAGACGTTTTCTCTGCAGTTCAAAGTACAGATGGGATCCTACTCTTCATATTCTTCTGCGCTTTGCTTTTTCACTTCATTCGTCAGCTGTCTTTTCATGTCAGTATATGTCGATTTGCCCCTTTCTTTTTAAGGATGGCAGAGTTCTCAGTTTCAAAGATTTATCAGCCTTCACTTAACCAGTTTCCTATTTGTAAACAGTTCTGGGTTTTTCCCCAGTCTTTTGCTATTGCTAATAATGTTCCAATAAACAGCCTTTGAAATGTATCTTTTGCACACTTGTGCGAGTTAATTCAGAAGGAAAACCCATACAAATACAATTCTAGGTTGAAGGGAGTTGCAGTTTAAATGCCAGTAAATATTGCCAGTTTCCTTGCCAAAAGTCAAATCGATTTGCATTCCCACCAAAATAGTGTGAGAATTCTTGTCTCTTCCCCCTCCCAAGGATGCAGGGTATTACCAAACTTTTAGAAATCCCTTCCATCATGATCACGAAAAATATATTGTATTGTTGATTTAAAGTACATTTTCTTAATTACAGGTGAGTTTGTGCTTGTTCCTTCTTTAAATATGATAGTACCTTCAATCAAGTATGGTGAGGCTTTGGTAGCATTCTTTCTCTTTAAAGTGTGCTGATTTTCCTGTTTGAATCTCAAAGAATAAGCCTAATTTTAAGCCCTGAGGAAGCATCTTATCACTGCCCCTCATTTACTGAGTAAATAGGGCTCACCACGTTTCTAAGACCTTTGTATAAATGTATATTTATATAATATGCTGGGGTGTTTCACAGGGGCAGCATCAAGGCAGATGGACGGGGAACTGGCCAGCCCTCCAACCTCTCAGTTAATTAATGTGACATATTCTTTCATTGCAGCAATTCAGTTTTGTGTCCTTGCCCACTGACGTGCTGGAAATTGAGGTGAAGGACAAGTTTGCCAAGAGCCGCCCCATCATCAAACGCTTCTTGGGAAAGCTGTCGATGCCCGTTCAAAGACTCCTGGAGAGACACGCCATAGGGTAAACCTGTGACTGAGCTCTTACTATCACTAGGTTCCCGCCAACAGCCTGTGCCCAACGGTGGCCTGTAGGCTGCAATAGTATACTCTCACAGAGAGTCAAAACGGTGTCATTATATTTCCTTAGCTTTTCCTACTAATTATGTTGCCTGCCTAATCAAACAAAACCTAATCGAACAAAAACAGTAATTGAACAAAACGTGTTTGTTCGATTAAACAGATGCTTCCCTTTCCACTTGATTGTGTAACCCTGGTCACTTACCCAAGAGAGCAAAAAACCCTCTTAGAGGTATTAAACGGTACTAAAAGAAGCCCTCAATGGGGCATTTCTCTGGACAGATAGAAACTGAAGTTTGCTTTACTCTGAGGAATATTATTTCATTCATATGAAATCTTATGTACAGTCTGGCATGTAAGATTTAATCGTATGTGACATTTCCATAACAAGATGAAATACTGGGTAACTACTAGAGGAGTGTCTCACTTAGAAGACGGTAGGATCTGCATGGATGAGAACTTGAAAGCGTGACTCTCATGGAATGACAGCAGTGAAGATGCTCACAGAGTTCAGCTGTATATGAGAATGTGTTTCTGTGCTTTTTCTCTTTTACATTCATGTCCACTCATGGTTCTCATTGAAGTGGACTATGACCCATAACAGCCCTACGTATAAGACATATATCTTTAGGTGACAGGGACTACATTTCAAAACACTAAATAAAGCTTTCTATCGATAAACATACACTTACAATGTAACCCTTACAAAGATAGCAGAATGAGAAAAACTATGCAGAATTTCCAAATGTCTTAAAGTTGTTTGGATTATTAGGACTTCGGAATCACGGATGATTATCGTAAGGACACTTAGTAATAATTGGAAGCTTATGGCGGATATGCAGCGGGGTACACAGAGGCCTGCCGTTAACTCTCCAGCCAAAGGGAGCTGAGTTTATGGAGCTACAGTCACGTGTCATACACAGAATTTGCGCTTGTCATTCATGGTTGTGAGGATTACACAGACAAAAAGTGTCCATAAAGAGCCTAGCACAGTCACTGGCACGTAGTAGGAACTCAGAAGGAAATGGCATTCCTTGTGATCTTTTCTTTTTTTTTGAGACGGAGTTTCACTCTTGTTACCCAGGCTGGAGTGCAATGGCGCGATCTCGGCTCACCGCAACCTCCGCCTCCTGGGTTCAGGCAATTCTCCTGCCTCAGCCTCCTGAGTAGCTGGGATTACAGGCACGCGCCGCCATGCCCAGCTAATTTTTTGTATTTTTAGTAGAGACGGGGTTTCACCATGTTGACCAGGATGGTCTCGATCTGTTGACCTCGTGATCCACTCGCCTCGGCCTCCCAAAGTGCTGGGATTACAGGCTGGAGCCACCGCGCCCGGCCTCCTTGTGATCTTTTCTGTTTCATTTAGTCCTCATAATGCTTCTGTGACAGCATTATCACCATTCCTCCACGAGGAAACACGGCTTCAAAACAATCAATAATTATGCAAGCCCAAGGCTTGTGGGTGGCAGAGATGCAGGCAGTGTCAGACTCACACCTGTGTCTCTCCAAAGCCCGAGGTCTGCCCCTGCACAACAGGCTTCTTTCAGGGTTCCTGGGATTGACTCTCTAGTTTATCGTGGGCCACACTTTTCATTTCTCTCCTTCTCTGCCCTCCTGGCTGCTAACACCTCTGCCAGGCGATGGGCTGGAGAACAAACCAGGGGTTGTGTAGGATTCTTTCTACCCCAGCACCCAGTGCACCACCACCCAGCATGCATTACATAGCGATTCGTACCTGTGGAACAGAACTTCTCTCCCCAGCTTGCTGCAGCCACAGAACCCCTCTGCCCTCCCATACTGAGTTCTCTCCTAAGCCCAAGCTGCCAGATCTTACCTTCTTGGTACTGTCCTGCTCTCCCAGCCTCCCACTGTGGAAAGGCACATCCCCAGCTGAAAGCAAGTACCTGAGGTAGAAAAGGCTGTCCCAGACCAGAAGAAGGTTAGCTATGATTTTCCCAGTGTTCTTGCCACCTGGGGAAATGGAGAGCACAGATGGAGTGTGATTGAGCTTGGACCTCTCCAAAAAGGAAGGAACAGCAAGCCATGGAGGCGTTTTCCTCCCACCCTCTTCAATGGGATGACAGACTGTCCAGTTGCGGCATGGCAGAGCAGTTCCTCCTCCAAAGCCTTCTGCTTCCACAGCCCCTGGTGGCCACTTTTGCAGTGTTGCCCCTTCCAGAGGTGTCCCAACATGGGTAGGAGCAGAGTGTTGGGGTGTGGCCATGGAAGCCGTAGCTATGCAGCCTGAGCAATGGCAGAACCCCAGAGTGCACCATAACAAAAGCGAATGCCCTCTGCCCTCTGCACGTGCACTCCCCATAAAGCCCCCTGCATCCTTTCTGAAACGTTTGGCTCCATCTGTATCGGCTCCCTCCCTGTCCTCAGACATTTGCGCCTTTCCCCCCTGGGCACACACGCACCCTCATTTCCAATGTTCCCTTCATTCCTTGGCTGTAACATCCCAGGCTTCAGCTCTCTGTCTCTAACTCTAACCATCTCGCCTTCACATTGAAGTGTCACCGGCTACCTTGAACCATTATTTAGGGGTCCTACCTTATGCCCCTAGCTGGACATAAGCTATTTAAAGGCAGAGGCGGCGTATGACATGCTTTTTATCAACCGCAGCAACTTTCACATGGCAGGGATCAAAAAATATTTGTTTCGTGGGTGAAAAGCAAAGGAAATAAAAGCCCAGAAAGTAAATGCAAAGCGTAATAAATGTGATTTGCGTGCCACTGTCTGATTGTCTTTAGGCCTCCCCTGACTTCAATGAAGTTTTGGGTTCAGGATGACTTTGGTCGTCATCGACCTACTTCATAATATTGACCAGGCTCTTTCTAAATAGACAGAATACTGAGACTCCTCCTATTTTTTTCTGCATATAATGCTTTACTTCATTGACTTCTGAGGAGCTCCAAACACCAAAGCATGGCTTATCAAAGAACAATTTTAAGTCAGGGGCTTGTTGGGATATATGTTGTTTGTCTCATAATGTCAGTGTTTTCTAGAAAGAAACATTACAACACTATCAGCCAGTGATTTATCCTTTTATTTTCATGTCACAAATGACCAAATGGAATAAATGCAGGGTCATCTGAATAATGACTGGTTTGGGGCTGTTTGTTATTACTGGGTCCCTGGGTTTGGTAACTCCTATATATCCTAAGGCAGTCACTCTTCCTATTTAGGCCAAGGTGAGGGGCAATTTGCTAGGCTGAAGCTGTATTGTTAATGATAGTATAACAGTGTTTCAGGTTGACTGCATCTAGAAAGTTTTCCTTTTATACTTTGTGTAATTTCTTTTTATAATTAAGAAATGATAAATTTCTTATAATTTATAAGAAAGTATTTAAATTTCTTTTTATAATTAAAGTTTTCTTTTTATAAATTGCTGTGAGTGGGTAGAGGGGATGGCACAGAAGTCCAGGATGGAGACTTGGGTGTCTACATGTGGGAGCCCACCATTGGTGTTAAGTGGAAGTCACGAGCCAGAGAACCCAGCCCACAAGTCTCGCTCTGCTCCGTCCTGGAGCAGCTGCCGTTTTGTGGCTCCCACAGGCTCTTCAGTAACCATGACAGCACCCTTTCTTAGATATTACATATATACCACAGGATATGCATCTGCTGGCACTGTCCATCATTGAGGACATATTTGGAAAATGGCAGTCTGCACAGGAAAAGCAGGCCAAGGACATCCTTGTCTTTTTTTATTCTCTCTTTCTCTCTGTTTTAGAGCACAGGTTGGCCAACTATATTTGTACAGGGCCAGGTAGTAAATATTTTAGGCTTTGCAAGGCCCACAGTCCATGTCTAAACTACTCAGCTCTGCCAGTATAGCATGAAAGTTGCCACAGACAATCCGTAAGCTAACAAGCATGGCCGTGCTCCAATAAAACTTTATTTATGGGCACTGAAATTTGAATTTCATATAATTTTTACATGCTACAAAATGTTACTCTTCTTTTGTTTCTTTTTCCAACCATTTAAAATGTAAAAGCTCACAAGCACACAAAGACAGGTGGTGGGCCAGATTTAGCCCACGGGCTGTAGTTTGCCCACCCCTGCTTTAGAATACGGACACTCAGTTGAACTCAACCATTTTTTTACTTTACAAAGGTGCGAAAGCTATATGCATTTAGCAGAAAAAGCAGAAACCATGAATTTTGAATTTTGATCTTTTCCCAGGCTAGCGATACACAGCATGACACTTTTGTGATGCTGGCGGCAACAGCAAGCCACAGCTCCCAGTCAGCCACATGATCACAGGATCAACAAGTGATACTGGACTCTACAGTATACTGTATTCAACAAATTACATGAGATATCCAATGCTTTATTATAAAATAGTTTTTGTGTTACATGATTTTGCTTACCTTTAGGCTAACGTAAGTGTTCCGAGCACTTTTAAGGTCGGCTAGGCTAAGCTATGATGTTTGGTAGATTAAATGTATTAAATGCATATTTAATAAATGTATCAAATGCATTTTTAATGTGCCAGTATTGTCAGCCTTTGATGGGTTTATCAGGTCATAATCCATGGGAGGTCGAGGGGCATCTGTATTCAATAAGGACTTCCTTACAGTTTTGAGCCCATCGGGACTTCCCTGGGCTTGCGTGCCTCACTCACTGTGTGGAAAGCACACTGCATGATCATTAGGAGGAGAGGTATTGACCAGATCTGTGATGGCGCTTATTTCCTTCTAGGGATAGGGTGGTCAGCTACACACTTGGCCGCAGGCTTCCAACAGATCATGTGAGTGGACAGCTGCAATTCCGATTTGAGATCACTTCCTCCATCCACCCAGGTACTCTCAGCATGAACTTCATGTCTTGTCCTAGGCTAGTGTCATAAGTGTGGTTCCTTTCTCTAAAATGCAATAACCATGGTTCTCTCCAGACATGCCTAGGCTTTAGGTTTTACAGCTCTCTATCTTCTCCATTTGAGGCCCAGAAGCCAGTGATCTATTCCAGAAGCCAGGTTGCTGTCCCCTTGATGGAGAGGTTCCTTTTCATTCCAGTGACCCAAAGGTAGAGGGTAGACAGTGAGTGGACTGAAGATTAACAATGAGGCCAACATGAATAGGGAGCTCTGTGTTATTTATCATCCTATTCCTGGCACCCATATAGGTGTTTAATCATCACATACATGAATGAATGAATGAATGAACGTGAAACATCTTTCTACCTAGTAACTAGATATAGACCAGCCAGTTGCTGAAAAATGTCATGTTGAAGAACTATAATTGTACAATGAATTTTTATAATATCACAGAAAAAAATGAAAATATAAATAGGACAGAAAACTCCAGAATCATCCATGTTCCATTTAATGCTAAAACAGATTTTCAAATAATTCTACTTTTGCTCTGCTTCTGCAGCCCCCATAGATCACACTGAGAGCTGTTAGGACCTCCTGGACCATTTACAAGTTGCTGTTAAATCTAATGAAGCTCTTGAGAACTTAGAGCTGGAGGTTATCACTGCCCACTCATTAAACTCCAGGTGTACTTTCCTATGGCAATATACAACTTAGACTGTAAGAAAACACCTTGTCTGTTTTGTCTTTTCACATTCAGCCTTTTCCTACATTCTGAGAGTAAAAGTGTCTCTTCCTTTGGTGTAGCCCTAGGGACAGCTTTACAGCTCACCAGAGGAACTGTTTTTTTTTTGACTAGTGAATTGCGCTAGTGCATTTGAAATGGGAAATTCACATCTGGCAGGAATCCAGTAGAGCAGCTGCAGAAGGTAGAGTAAGACACTGGAGCTTCCCCTTAAATGACCGCTTGGGATGAAGACCTTGTTCATTTTTTTATCGGAATAAACTCCAAATGTCGGGAACAGCCCAGCCTGAGCTATTGAATGGCTGTGGTTGCTCCCATTCTTCATCCAGCCTTTTGCTTCTCTCTGGTTGCCTGAGAACCCTGCTTACCATTTATGCCACCCTGCAGGACCTACGCATAGGGAAACATTCTGAGCAAATACAATTAACTAAATATAATCAATGAGGATCTATAAATAACACCACTACTGCCCTCATCTCTGGAAGTTATTCTGTGTGTCAAACGCTGTTGAGTACCTACTATGTGCCCAGAACTGCGTTAGTGCTAGGCTTTGGGCATTTTAACCAAAAGACGAATTCCCTTGAAACAGATTTCGGAAATATATCCATGACTGCAAGTTGTTGTTAACATAGCAGGAACTCATTCTTATAGAATCTCTCACTAGAGCTCTGGCCAGTGAGAAACTCTTATCAACCTATATTCAATATCCTAATGTAGAAATCCCTTAGTGATGGCTTCCATGTCCCACAGGGTATTCTAACACCACAATGCTCTCTTCTGGGAGAAATGACATGTTTTTCTTCTTGCCAGCAGATGATGAAGAGATTTCCCTGAGTACAGAGCCTGAGTCAGCCCAAATTCAGGACAGCCCCATGAACAATGTGGTGGAAAATGGCAGTGGGGATCCTCGTGCTGAGGCCCCAGAGCCCTCTGAGAGCTGGAAACCAGAGCAGCTGGGTGAGGGCAGTGTCCCAGATGGTCCAGGGAACCAGAGCATGGAGCTTTCCAGACCAACTGAGGAAGCAGCAATCATCACAGAGACAGGAGACCAGGGCGTGGTCTCTGTGGGACCTGAAGGGGCTGGGGAACTCCTGGCCCAGGTGCAAAAGGACATCCAGCCTGCCCTGAGTGCAGAAGAGCTGGCCGAGCAGCTGGACCTGGGTGAGGAGGCGTCAGCACTGCTGCTGGAAGATGGTGAAGTCCCAGCCAGCACAGAGGAGGGGCACGTGGAGGAGGAAACCACGGCACAGAGCCGGGCTGGAAGGGAGGAAGAGAAGGAGCGGGAGGAGGAGGAGGGAGATGTGTCTGCCCTGGAGCAGGGAGAGGGCAGGCTACAGCTGCGGGCCTCAGTGAAGAGAAAAAGCAGGCCCTGCTCCTTGCCTGTGTCCGAGCTGGAGACAGTGATCGCGTCGGCCTGTGGGGACCCCGAGACCCCGAGGACACACTACATCCGCATCCACACCCTGCTGCACAGCATGCCCTCGGCCCAGGGCAGCAGCGCGGCAGAGGACGAGGACGGCACGGAGGAGTCCACCCTAAAGGACTCCTCAGAGAAGGATGGACTCAGTGAGGTGGACACGGTGGCCGCTGACCCGTCTGCCCTGGAAGAGGACGGAGAAGAGCCCGAGGGGGCTACCCCAGGCACGGCGCCCCCTGGCCACTCCGGGGGCCACTTCCCCAGCCTGGCCAACGGCGCGGCCCCGGATGGCGACACGCACCCCAGCACCGGGAGCGAGAGCGACTCCAGCCCCAGGCAAGGCGGGGACCACAGCTGCGAGGGCTGTGACGCGTCCTGCTGCAGCCCCTCGTGCTACAGCTCCTCGTGCTACAGCACGTCCTGCTACAGCAGCTCGTGCTACAGCGCCTCCTGCTACAGCCCCTCCTGCTACAATGGCAACAGGTTCGCCAGCCACACGCGCTTCTCCTCCGTAGACAGCGCCAAGATCTCCGAGAGCACGGTCTTCTCCTCGCAAGACGACGACGACGAAGAGAACAGCGCGTTCGAGTCGGTGCCCGACTCCATGCAGAGTCCTGAGCTGGACCCGGAGTCCACGAACGGCGCTGGGCCGTGGCAAGACGAGCTGGCCGCCCCTAGCGGGCACATGGGAAGAACCCCGGAAGGTCTGGAATCCCCCGTGGCAGGTCCAAGCAATCGGAGAGAAGGTTAGACCTCAAACCTGATCAGAGTGAGAATAGGACCGTCAGGGGGACACAGGTGTCAGCAGCACAGCTTAAAAACAAGAGGGCGGGGGATCGGTGTCAAACGGGGTTGCTGGAGCAATGTATGCCTGTCTTGTACATATATGTGTGCATGTGTATCTGTGTATGAGTATAGATGACTGAGTAGCTGACACCCCACCAGGTCTCAGATACACACCAGGAATTACGACTGGTTGGATGTGAGCGTGCACTTGTATGTGTGCTGCTGTTTGTTTCAACTAATCACCAGAACTGGTTAGTGTACATGTTATCCTAGTCTCGGCAGCAGCCAGAGCCCCAAGACTAGTGTCAAATGATACATGTGGGAAATTATCTACATTAAATGGATAATGTGTAAATATCTGCTGACTTCCAAAGCACGTGGAAGATTAGCAATAGATGTTCATATTAGTTGAAGAACAGACTTTACCTCTGTTTTAGAACTCAACTAGCTCATGTACATACATGTAGATATGTCTAGCCTACATGTATTTGTCATTATTTCTGTCCACTCAATTCTTATTACTGTGAGTTTTGTGTTGTTGTTGTTCTTGTATTTGTTTGCTATTCTGGCTGATAGAAGGGAAAAATAACATGGTTGTGTATAAATCACTTTGTTTCCAATAAGAATCGAATCCAAAACCTGCCACCGTTAGTTTAAATGTATTCTGTGTTTTAACCAAAGTTTTCTTTAGTCATGCCTGCAGAACAATATGTGAAATTAATTTGCATTTCCTTATCCATGAGGGGGAACTATCTTCCAGTCAAGTGACAGTGGCATAATGGGGAAAAAAAATTGAAAAGTCACATAATAATATGAAATAATTCAGTTGTTTTAAAAGAGAAAAACATAGCCTCTGCTATTTTGCTCTTCTGCTGTTGAAATTAGCCGCCCACAAAAGGCGGGGATATTTTCTGCAGATTGTAAGCTCATCAAGGGCCAGAGTTGTGTTTCTTTATGTTTGAATACTTAGCACGTAAACAAACCCCTGGTGCCTACAAGTTTTTTTGAACAGGAGCTAAAGTGAGCATTAAAAAAATAATTTTAAGTATCAATAATGCCCGCTTCCACATTTCAGAAAAAGAATGAGAGAGTGGCATGTGCGATAATGAGAAACGCAAGGAAATTGGTAGAGAAAAAGAAACGCAGGCAGAAAGGTAAAACAGCATGGAAAGGAACCCCTGAGGAGTGGGATGGAAAATCCCTCCTGTGAGGAGAATGGAATGGGAAATGCCTTTCTTTGACAAGGATGTTTTGAGGCCCTCCTTTATTCTAGGCCAGATGAAATGTGCTGGGCACAGGAAGATGGATTGGCATCAGGTGAGGAATGGACATTACTCAATAATTACAGCCTAATTAAAAATAATACAACAAAAGGAGCTGGGGGATTCCCTAAAGGCACAGGTAGGAGCTGGCAGCGATGTTGGATTACGAAGGTCTGCAAACTTTTTCTATAAATAACCAGGTAGTAAATATTTTAGGCTTTGTAGGTCAAGAGGTAAACAATCAAATAACTGTTCTCACTAAAAGACTTTTTTTTAGTATTGAAAAATGTACTGACACTTTTCTTAGCTTAGAACCATATAACCCTGTTTTAGTGTCTTTTGGACCCCATGTTGGGAGGTAATCTATACATCGTAAATTGAAAACTGGCTCAGTGTGAATTTATTTAAGAGCATGTTTTGCAAACAAAAAAGGCATGTCCATGCCCTTGAGAGGCTAACAGTCTAGCAGGTGGAAGAGCAGGAAGTGTTCAGGGACACAGTGGACATCTCTGCATTGGCATTGGCAGTTTCTAAAGAAATGTCTAAATTCCTGAACTCTGCAGAATATAAACTCAGAAAAGGTCAAGAAGCACCTACATCCTTCACTATAGTGATTGCAAGGGGAAATAGGAAGATTCCCAAAGGGTCTCTTGATCTCCTGAAGGCTGTGCATGCGCTGGTATGTGACCTCTTCCCAGCCAGCCTTCCCCATTCAGCAGTGAGTCCCTGAGCTAACAGCATCTACGTTGTGGGACTGTCCCTCACTTGCCACCAGATTTCACAACAGCAGGTGCTTCAAGAAAGCAAGGCTTTGACGTGACCTGCCTGATATGTGATTGTGTGGATGCCCACTGCTTCCATAAGAAATCCTATCGCCCCTTCGCTTTGACTTCTAAGATTGCAAATTCCTTCACTGTAGAAACTGCACTAGATGGCCAGGTGTGGTGGCTCACACCTGTAATCCCAGCACTTCGGGAGGCTGAGGTGGGTGAATCACCTGAAGTCAGGAGTTCAAGACCAGCCTGGTCAATGAGGCGAAACCCTGTCTCTACTAAAATATATTTTAAAAATTGCTGGGCACGGTGGTCAGCACCTGTAATCTCAGCTACTCAGGAGGCTGAGGCAGGATAATCACTTGAACCTGGGAGGCAGAGGTTGCAGTGAGCCAAGACCACACCATTACACTCCAGCCTGGGCAACAAGAGTGGAACTCTGTCTCAAAAAAAGAAACTGCATTAGATTAACCCAGGTGGATTTGTTGTCTACATGCCCACATAAATGAGGCTGCAGCAATTTGTGGAAGAACACTGTTCTAAGCCTGAACTGACAACCATACAGGCTAGTGTGCTTTTCATGCTTTTTTCTTCACTTCCTTCTATAAATACCTCCCTTTTTAAAGTCCACTTTAAAATAGTTCTTAAAAGACCTTCTGCAGATGAATGAAAAGAGTAATATAATCTCATGGATATGAGCTCAGACCCTGGAGTCAGGCCTCCTTGCTCTATATTCAGTCCTCCCACTTCCACGCCAAGTCACCTAGCTGCTGTGTGCCTCAGTTTCCTCATGTACAAAATGGTTATAATTATAGAATCTCCCTCAAAGGGTTGTTGAGAAAATTAAATGAGATGATACTACAAAAGTACTCTGCCTCCCACCGAGTGAGGGTTCTTCCAGGCAAACAGGCAGTGAGGTTAACTGATTAAATGGTGTTGTATAAAGCATCTGAAACAATCCTTTGAATTTGCATTTCCCGCACTTTGTAATTCAAGGAAAATTTTTCACATTATTAGGTGTAAATCACTTTGCTTCAAATAATATGCGAGGCAACCTGTTTTTCTCTACAATTAGGTAATGTTATTTAAAAACAGAAGGGAATTTAAAAGGATGTTGCTTTTAGCTGAGAAATAGCTCTTCTGGAAGGTTCTGAAGGGTTTCAACACTTGCTTTGTGTTTGAGGCAAGGGTGATGATGTGGAGCCCCGTCCCTGTGCAGAATACAACTGCTTGCTTCCTCAGTGCCTCCATCCATTCAGTCGGCTGCGATATGTCGGTCACATCATTGCATTTGCTTGGGGTTCACAAGCAGGTGGGATCAGCTCCATTAACCCCAGGCAGTCGACAATATTGTATTTCCACTAGCTTGGAGGAGTAATTAACCTGATTGGTTGCATTAATTTCAAGAGGTAAGTCAATTGTTGTTTTTAAAGAAACTAAATTAAAGATGCAGCAGCTGATGACATAACAACTGTACCATGGTTTTGTTGAATTTCTGACACTAAACACATATACACACAAACATGAGTGTGGTATCCACTTAAACACAGCACCCATCTTTGAAACAGCAGTCTGTCCACAAGGAACTGGGTGCCAGCACGAGGGGAACCTTCCTTGTTTTCTGTTAGCATCTCTAAGAACCCAGAAGATTTGTGTAACATACCAGGATTTGCTCAACAAATAATGTTATGTAGTGAACATGTAAAAGGACCCTTTGTTACTGAATATACCTCTGCTTCTGTTTGCCAGTTAGCTCTAGGAATTAAATCAGAAAATTAAACCCACCTTTCTTCCTAAATTAACTTATTTTTATTTTTTGATCAGGTCTATAGAACTAGAATGAGAAGAAATAATCATCCTTTCCATGTGAGGTTATTCTAGGAAATATTCAGCATTGGAGATCTGACAACCATTTGACCACCATTTTTCAGTCTCTCTCCTTTTTGACCCAGTGGATAATGGAACACTTGATATTTCCGTCAGCAGAGGACAGAAGGAAAAGGCCTGACCTTTGCCCTCTGGCCCTAAGAGGGTTTTGCAAGAAAACCAGCAGAGTGTGAGGCAGGAGGAACGTTCTGATAGCTGGCTGTCCCTTTTCCTGGGCCCTTCTGGCCCTGCAAAGATCAAGAGCACTGACCTCTGCTTTTGTGACCCAAGCAGCTGGTGCTGCAGGCCTGCCTTCTGCATGGCTGCCCTACATGCCTGAGGACACCACTTCAGAACATTGTTCAGTTCATTATAAGTCTGAACTGAGAACAGTATGAGCTATGGCGGTTGTAGGTTTCCTTTTAATAATCTGAGGCATGCATCCCGTGGATATAATGTTTATTTCTAAAATTTCTCCATGTCTGTCTTTCTTCCTCCTCCTTTCCCACTTCTGTGTTTTGAGCTTTCCTGTCACGGTCTTTCTGCTTTTTATCTATTTCCTTTGTCTCTTGTCCTTTCCTCTTTCCAGAGCACCCTGGCTTGTCTTTCTCCTCAAAATAATCCAGACAGTCCTGAGATCCCTCAGCACCTTGGCTCCCCTCCCTCACCCCCCAGCCTCTAGCTTTCCTACTACAGGAATTTACATTCTTGGCTCACCAGCTCCTTGACCTGTCTCGGAAAGGCACCATCGAGAGTTCATTCCCCTCAAAAACCTGAAAAATGGCCTTTCGGCAGCCCTGTGATGAGACCTATCCAAGTGCAGAGGTGTCGTTTTACACGAGCCCAAGGAGCTTTTATGGAACCTTATAAAATGCTGTATTTCCCTCAAACAGGCCTATTTCCTCCACGGGGCTAAAATCAGGCTCTGCTGATTTTCTCTTGTGTCCCTTTCTGGTGCCACCTTCTGATTCAGGAAATTCAGGTCGTTACAGAATCAGACTCAAATCCTACATATTAGACTGTGTGGCACAGATCACTAGTTATGAAATGTTTGGATTTTCTTCTTTTTAAAAAAAAACATTTCCCCCTCTCATAAATGACTGTGAACGTAGCAAACTGACACGCACACACAGATGGATTGCCCACTCTTCGGGGGTTGTTTTTTGTAGTGGTTTTACAGTCGTGCTTTTTTGATGATGTTGCCACGGCAGTGAATGAATCTGAATGTATTGACTGTCTTGTCCGTAGGTGAATGTCCTACACTCCATAATTCCCAGCCAGTAAGCCAGCTTCCTTCCCTGAGGCCTGAACATCACCACTACCCAACAATCGATGAGCCTCTTCCACCAAGTAAGCTTTAGTTTTTAAAATCTGTTCTTAACTCTTCCTATCAAGTCTAAGCAGGTCAGTATGAATTTGTGTGTGAACATCTAAAGTCCTTCCCAACTCTGTGCCTTACAGTGTTAACAAAAAACCAACATGACACCTACTTTAAAAACCGATGGGATTTTTGGGATCTTTCTATTTGCTTTTTTGATTAGTGGGTTCACCCTGTGATCTTGAGGAGATGATACAGTGTTTACAGCACCTCTCAACTTCGGAAATAGAAAGCATTTCTTTATTAGACTTGACTAGTCTTTGCAAACTGTTCATGACTTTTAAGTCCCAAATTTTATATTTTATATTTAAAATTTGCCGTTCAAGATAGAATAATCCTATTGTTCTCCATTCGGTCTGTTACATCACAGGCATCGCCATATGTTAAAACAACTTCAACCCATCTGGGCACATGAACTTACTTTTCTTACTATAACTTGCATCCATAGGTAATAGCTTCAAATTTCTTCTGCAGTTCCTAGGCGTTGCTAGGCAAAATATCATCTTTAAGATAGAATTCAGTGTCATTTCTCCTGGTAACTGTAGTATGTAATTAATAATTATCTAACTAGCCATCTGAACTTGGGAAATTCATTTAATCTCTCAGAGACTTAGTTTTCTCATTTGTAAAATTTTTAAAATGAAGTTTGAATGTCTTCATCTGCTAAATGAAAGGTTTGACCTAGATAGTCTCTAGATGCCATTCTAGCTTTAACCTCATAATACACCATTTAATAAATTTATAGAAGAAATTGACACCCCAGACATTATTCACTTAGCATCACCTATGTTCATGAATTCTAGAACATCTCTGTTTTGGTTTAGACTTATTTTTCAAGCAAAGATAATATTTAAGATTTGATAGATTTTTACAACTACAAAATCTTTTCAGAATGCAAGGAACCCATGTTTCTTTACATTCTTTTCCCTGTGCTAATGTGAAGCAGTTACAGTTTTCAAAAGGAGAAGTGATTATTTCTTAATTCATCTATTCTTGGTAATGCGTTATATGTTACAGGAATACCACTCCTCTATTCAATTATAATTGACTGGTGAGAAATCAGCAAACATCTTGAATATGTGGACTAATTTAAAGAAACACAGTATTTGTTTTTCAGGGGCCAAGCCAAACATCATGTCCTTGAACTTTTGATGCCTGATTTCTTTATTTATACACTGATTTGTGGACATTCCATAAATGAAGAGTAAAATTTTAGCATCACTATAAATACTTCCTAGGTAACATTTATTTGAAAAATATGTATAGCATGTTCTCTCCAGGAAAGGGACATTTTCCACACAACAAATAACCTTTCAGTGCATGAATCTACTTCCAATCTATGCAGTACAGATAACTAGTTATACATGCAAATATTATAAATAATTGTATATAAATTCATTGTAAAAGAATTACTTTATATAAACCACTTTCAAAAATGAAAACAAATTTCTCCAGATAGTTTTCTATTTTCAATCCACATAACATTGGAGATCTTAGAAAAATCGTTAATGAATCCTACCAACTCAATATTGTTAAATAATCTCAAATAGTCAAGAATTGCTTTATTGCTGATACTCATTCAACAAATACTAATCGTATGTTTACCCTGTGCTAGGTACTATTATCGGTAAGCAAAATAGATTCCTGCCCTCATGGAGCTTACAGTCGAGTGTGGAAGACAGATTACCAAACAATAAAATAGTTAAAAAGGGACTGGCCTAGCATATGAGATGCTATGGAAAAGCAAAAATAGATCAGGGTGAGGGATCTCTGAGAATGTGTGGTGGTGGCTGGTTTGCAATTTTAAACCAAGTAGTGAGAGTACGCTTCATTGAGAAGACAACACCTGAGGGTTAAGGGAGTCATCCCTGCCAGTGTTGGGCAGAAAGGGCTTTGCAGGCACAGGGAATGGCCACTGCCAGCCAGGAGGTGGAAACACCCTAGTGAGTTTGAGGAACAAGAGACCAGTGTGTCTGGAGCAGACTGAGGAAGGGAGAAGGCACAGGTGACATGGTCAGGGAGCTGGCAAGGCCCAGACCACGTGGGGCCATGTAAACCACTTAAGGGCTTTGACTTCTACTCCGGACGAAAGGAGGACATTGTAGAGTTTTGAGCAGAGAAGTGACATTGTCTGCCTTAGGTTTTGAAAAGTTTGCCTTGGTTGCTGTGTAGGGAATAAATTGGGAAGAGGAAGAATAGAAGCATGAGATTCAGCATAAGATTCTGTCTTTATGAAGCGACCCAGGTGACACACAATGGTAGTTTGGGCCAGGGTGGGAGCAGTGGAGGTGGTGAGGAGTGCTCTAATTCTCGACATGTATTTTAAAGGAACATTTGATGACAGATTGAATGTGGATGTGAGGGAAAGCTAGGTAACAAAAATGACCTAAGAGTTTCGACCTACAAAGATGGAGTTGCCTAACTAATATGAGTTTGGGGTCCATCAAAAATTTCAACTTTCTGGATCGAGATTAAATTGAGGTGGGCAGGGAAGGCTGCAGGCAGAGCAGGTTTTGGTGGATCCAACCCTCGGTTTCGATAACCTTATATTTGAGATGTCATCTAGGTAGTGATGTGAAGAAGAAAATTGGATATGTGATTCTGAAGTTCAAGAGAAAGGTCTAGACTTTCAGAGATAGTATTGCATTTGTTAAAGCTGTTCAAAATGTACAGTTGTATGGGCCTTTATTAATATGATAACTAAATATGATACATTATCAGGTTCTTGGACTTTGTGGAGAACGTGTAATTTAGTGTACAGCAGAGCCTTCTGTCATGAATGAGTTCACCTGACCTGCACTTCCATAACTCGCCCCAGCATCATGAAGTTACTGTTTCCAGGTGGCCGTTTAGGGAAATTCATGGCCTCACAATGCCAAGCCCTTTAAGTCTTGTTGACACCTGACGTTCCTTTTTGAATGCTTTTTCTTTAGTCACAAAATATGTGAAAGTAAATTCCTTACAAAGCAACCCAGAAAACATGTTCATAATTTCTGATTACACTTAGCTATTATTTTCTGAATATATATAAGTATATAATTAGCACAATACATTCCAGATATTTAATGTATTGACGGAAGAGCCCAGCTGTTGGGCTTACCACACTTTTCCATGAGGAATTGAAATGTGTGGTGATAAATTATCATTATGGCAGCTTCCTTTTCTACCTTTTCCCCTTAACTTATAAAACCCAACCTTCGTCCGTGAAGGAATCCTTTCGTTACTGTAGGTTCCTGGAGGGCAGGTCATGTGTCACTCAGCTCTGTGTCTGCAGGATGTGGTACCGTCTCCTGGTTCAGACTCAGTGCTGCACAGTTTGTTCAATTTTAAATTACACAGTGCTCTTCAAAGGCTAATGCTCATTTTTTGGTGGACAACAGTCATGTTGGATTCAAGAAAAATAATTGTCCTATTGCTTTTAGTAATATTAGTTTGGTCCGTCAAAATTTTTAACTTTCTGGATCTAGAATAATTACCTAGTAATCATATGTACACACAATTTCATCCACGAGCTAATTAGCATTTACACCTGATACTTGACAGCTGGATTATCATTAGATAATCATTAGATCAATTTTAATCAAAACCTCCTAGGACATATTTATACAATCTGCCTACATCTTTCCTTCCATTTGTCTTATAAATTGACTTTGGTGTTTAGGGGTACTTTGGTTTTCACTGGGCATGATTTGACAATGTCAGGTCAGACATAAGTCATAATGCCACAAACAGTTACACTATATACATATAAAACCATAAATATGCCAAATATATTTTTCCCTTAAAAATTGAGAGTTGCTATGTCATTACCTGAATGATAAGTTTTCAACGGAACTGTCGATATCTGATCTACTCCCAAAAGCTATGGCTTTTCCCACTTAAAAGGCTGGATGGTTTTCTTCCCTTTGCAGTTATTTTTGCTTTTTCTTCTTCTTTAGTTTCGAGCATTTTCAGCATAACTTTATCACACTGCTTCTATTTCCACAATGTGATGTGTGGCTCTTAAGCTTGGCCCATCTCTGTACAGCAGACATTGCTCTTCTATGTTTCGCTCCGATGTGAACCCATTGCTTCCAGCTCTTTTCCACCTACCTCACCCCACCCCATCCCCTGCATGTACGATGTAGAGAATCATCCATGCTTCCACCTTTTCGTTTTCTTGTTTTGTTTTATTTTGTTTTTAATTTGGGAAGGGAACTTTTTTTTTAATCTCAGGCTCCCTCTACTGTTTGGGATGGTTATTTATCAACGAAAGGGTACTTCCTAGTTACTGGTTTGGTTTGGCGGTCAGAGATGTTTGACAGCTGCAGGTTGAATATGCACTGTTAATTAACAACTTATCAAAAGGCTGTTTTGAAGCCCTAAGAATAATTTCCTTCCATTCACCCACTCAAAAGGAAAGGCAGTGGATGAAGTTTGCTAAATATAAGACAGAGGTCATCCAAATTTGCAGATCCAGGATTTTAGAACAGTAGTTAAAACTGGTTTTCATCTGAGGGCCATTCTTTCCACTGAACCTAATTGCCCTCTATTAAATTTACAAAGAAAGTGTTCTCCAGCATCGCAGTGTAAACTCTCACCAGAGGATGCTCCAATCTTCCACTGCTGTCATTTGAGTAGCCAACAAGTGTGACAGTGAGAATGGACATATCTAAAGAAATAAATTAATTAAACATTAGATTTTCTCTTTAGAAATTATTAGAATTTTGGCCGGGTATGGTGGCTCATGTCTGTAATCCCAGCACTTTGGGAGGCCAAGGCAGACAGATCACCAGAAGTCAGGAGTTCAAGACCAGCTTGCCAACCATGGACAACATGGTAAAACCCCATCTCTACTAAAAATACAAAAATTAGCAGGACATAGTGGTGGGCACCTGTAATACCAGCTACGCAGGAGGCTGAATCAGGAGAATTGCTCGAATCCAGGATGCAGAGGTTGTAGTGAGCCGAGATCACGCCACTGCACTCCAGCCTGTGCTCTCCAGCCTGGGTGACAGAACAAGACTCCATCTCAAAAAAAAGAAAAAGAAAAAAACAGAAAATTATTAGAATTTTAAATTTTAACATAGGTCTTGATCAAGGAACCACAGCTACTGTTTAATATGGCCCAGCAGAGAGTCTGAGTTCATTAAATTGTTTTCTGAGATCCCGAGTTCATGCCAGTGCCCAGAAGTTGTGGCAGGTGCTGTGGACAGGGTCTGGCCTGCCGCCATGAACCAACGGTGAGTTCTACCTGCAGAAGACCTGGAAGTGGTATGTGTTTCACATGGGTCAGTGGTTTGTCCTTGATTTTTCTTTTTGCCTTTTTATTAAAACTAGACTGGGAAGCTCGAATTGACAGCCACGGGCGGGTCTTTTATGTGGACCACGTGAACCGCACAACCACCTGGCAGCGTCCCACAGCAGCAGCCACCCCGGACGGCATGCGGCGATCGGGGTCCATCCAGCAGATGGAGCAACTCAACAGGCGGTTGGTGATCAGTATGCAATGAGCTCCCCTAAACCACAGTGAAAGGAGAATGGCAGCTAGAGACTCTCCCCTTACACTTTTCCGCTCAGACTGTGTGGGGAGACTCAAAAGTAATTAAGTACCTTAAGAAACCTGTTCCTAGTAAATATTTGGAAAGCTAGATTTAGAATTTGGTGGCAAGAGACAAGTTACGCTTGATTGTCATTTAAGTTCAGATGGGAAATCCTCTGAACTTCTTCATGGCCTAGGCTCAAAAACAGGAGTTCTTAACCAGGGTGGGTGTATCCCTCTCTGCTGGGGTGTTCACCGAGGATATCAGTGTTCCTTGAACTTTCCAGGCACGATACACATTTTTCTAGCAGACTGGTTCGTAGCCATCACATAGTTCTCAAAAGGATTCAGACCTCAATTAAGAACATTCCAAGGACAGGTTTCATAAGACTAAAAGCTGACTGGAGAAGAAGCTGTCTCATAAATCACCATGTGCATTCCTACGCAGGTCCCATAATTGATGTATGTCCATCAATCATCATTGAAAAGCCTTCATCTTAGAAAAAGAAATGTTTAAAAATATTTTTGAGAATTATTTTGTTGAAAAATTAGGCCCTCTCTATTAAACTTGTAAAGATGTTATTTTATTTTTAAGCTGCAAACAAAGTCTTAAACCGTATGAGGCTTAAACAGTGGTCCATTCATGTCAGAGGTGTTGCAATAAGCTAGTATAGAGCATCCTCCCTGACAACGTGCTCATTAAGACTGGGGTGGTAGCTTCAGGATGCTTTTAATTACCAGGAATGCAAGCCGAGGCTTTCTCAGTTGAAATTGCACTCACATGCTGTCTTGCTTTCATGTCGGGTATGAAGGTGAGAGGAAAAGCTGAGAAAGACTAAAAAGAATGAAGAACTGGGTTTGTGGAACACACCTACTGATAGCAAATGGCTTTGAAACTTAATTGTTATCTGCCAGAAAAAAAAGGGGGAGAAACAATTTAGTCCTATTTAAAACACATGGGACCGGGCACAGTGGCTCAACTCTGTAATCCCAGCACTTTGAGAGGCCAAGGCAGGAGGATCATTTGAAATCAGGAGTGCGAGACCAGCCTAGCCAACATGGTGAAACCCCGTCTCTACTAAAAATACCAAAAAAATAGCTGGGGGTGGTGGCAGTTGCCCGTAATCTCAGCTATTCGGGAGGCTGAGGCAGGAGAATCACTTGAACCTGGGAGGCGGAGGTTGCAGTGAACCGAGATTGCACTGCTGCACTTCAGCCTGGGTGACAGAGTAAGACTTCATCTCAAAACAAAACATGGAAACAAAAAAAATGAACTTCTGGCTACTATTGTACACAGAGGAGCATGTTTCAGGTGAAAATCACTAGAACATTCTTTCATTGCCTGAGCATTTGGAAGACATTTGCTTTCCAGTTTTCCCCGTCAGCAGCAGCACACTTTACAATCATTCCCAAGCCAACAAAGCATGTTACAGGGAAGAACTCCTCATAACCCGAATGGACCGCAAATCCGTGGGGGAGTCCTTTCATAGTGATTGCAGCAAGGCCCGTGTAACTGAAAATGTAAAAGACACAGAGATCCTGTTGTGATTCCATAGGCAGAAGTTAGCCCCTAGGTCTGTCTTGCCAAAACTGATAAGCTGCAATTGTTTAGCAGGCCGAGAAACAGGGGAAGGCATCATCAGGCTGTATTTATACAAGGTGCTGTTTTGAACACCAACCAAAGCAAGACAATGAATCTGAAGCAGAAGGAAGCACCTTGACCTATGGCATAACCATCCATGAAGTTTATCGGGGTGATCAGCTTGCATAATACAAAAATTAGGCCAAATCTGTCTTGAACCAGGTCTCCAAATAAGTTTTGTAGCCTTGGATATGTAAATTCCTGTGCCCTCCAGTGGAGGTGAACATGCTGGGAGAGGCAGCTGGACTTTGCCGAATAGGAAGTTGCATTTGCTACATCCATCTGGACAGATAAAAGAAAAGGAATTTAACACTTTGAGAAGGTACTTATTTCTAGTGAAAAAGTATACCAAGGGAAGATCAGATACCTTTCAGATAAGTATCTGAGCTTTTCCATACTTATCTTGATCTATTGCTTTCAAGTATTTAAAATTTTTTTGTGATTTGACATGATAACAGGCAGCCCCAGAAACTACACTTCCAGTCTTCTATCCATCTCACATTCGGCCACACGCAAGGTCATTTTTTTGATAACCCACAGTTATCTGGAGAAATTTACAATGCTTACTGGCTCACAGTCAAATGGAAGTATTATTCAGTGTTTCAAGGAGTTTTCCTTGAGCCTAACCAAATGATTGAAAATCAAATATGTTTGTGCAAGGAGACAGACATTGGGAAGTGCAAAGGACACAACAGCCATGTGTAAGCTTGTGTGGTAGGTCTCAGTGACCATGAGCCAACTCAGCCAATCCCCGGACACGGCACACTCTTCCAGGCCTTTATGGCTTAGCCACATGCTCCCACTGCGGGAAAGTGCCTCACTGCCTGCTTCCCACCTGAAACACATCTCGTTCTACAGGCCTGACTCAATGTCATGTGCCCCAGAACACCATCCCAGAATCCCCTACACAGAGCCAGGGACTTCCTCCCCTGTAGCCTCCAGAATGTGCCTGCTTCTGTGCCAAAGCCTTACTCTTCTTTCTACCCCTTTCTGTCCCCAGCGCCTGGTGTGGTGCCAGAAGGTTAATAGGACTCAGTACAAGATTGTTTCCTGAGTTAATTCCTATACTTTGAGAATGTCCAGAGTTAATTAATTCTACTTTCACAACTATTTACTGAAAAGCAGAAAAATATGTATTTTTATTTTAAATACTCAACTGTTTGATTTTTAAATTATTTGTGTAGAATTATGATAATTTAAGGGAAATAGAAGTTTTAAATAGAAAAAAAGTGATCTGCAATCTAACTACCCCAAGGATTATTTAGCTTTCTTTTTTTTTTGAGTTGAATTCTGGCTCAATCACCTGGGCTGGGGTGCAGTGGCACAATCTCAGCTCACTGCAACCTCCGCCTCCAAGCAATTCTCTTGCCTCAGCCTCCCGAGGAGTTGGGACTACAGGCACGTGCCACCGCATCTGACTAATTTTTGCATTTTTAGTAGAGACAGGGTCTCACCATGTTGGCCACGCAGGTCTCAAACTACTGGCCTCAGGTGATCTACCTGCCCTAACCTCCTGCAGTGCTGGGATTACAGACGTGAGCCACTGCACACAGCCAAATTAGCTTTTTTAAAACATGTGGCCATCTTCAATTTCCATATGCATGCACAATCCTTACATGGTTACAATGGTGATATGTAGTCAGTTTCATATGCTTTTTTCACTTACAAAACTCTAAGCATTTAATATTGCTGCATAGTCTTCAGATTAACATGTAATTGCTTGTGTAGTATTCCACTGAATGGCTGAAGTTTAGTTAACCTAATTTCATATTGTTGAATGTTTTGCGTCTTGCTTTTGTCACTGTTTTTGTCACAAGGGCCTGCTAAATATTAAGATTGCCTTGTAGTGGAGGGTTTCCTTAGGATTCTATTCCCAAAGAACAGGCCAAGGGAGACAAATGTGAATTGGGTGTTTGGTATCAATGCCTAACTTTCTACATTAGACATTTTGATTCTAGGGGTTTACTCCGCCAACAGCTACAGCTTCACTTCCATCTCATCTTTTGGTCTGTTTTTGTTGATTTAAGAGTATTCTTATTCTTAAATCTGGTATTCTGATGCCACTTACGTTTCACTTGCTGGAGCAAGGGTCCACTTGTTTTCCAATAGCTTTTCTATAATAACGATAGTTTCTCCCATGTGAAATGTCTGTTCTTGGGCTTTTGAAGAGGGGTGAGGTTATTTAGTTGGCTCATTGGTTTTGCCTGATTTTGGAGGGCCTTTTCTTTCTTTCCTTCTTTGGGGTGTGTGTGTGTGTGTGTGTGTGTGTGTGTGTGTGTCCGTGTCCATTTATAAATTATGTATTTCAGCTGACTTTCGAGCTAATTTTCATGAGCCTTTTATATACTATAAATATTTAATATTTTGCTACAAAAAAATGGAGGGAGACTTTGATGGATAATTCCTAATGAAATAGAAGAGAGCTGCTTCTCTCTCCCGTTTAAAGCTGGGGAGCCTCTGAGGCTGCACTCCTGCCCTGTGAGACTGAGACCCTCCTCAAGCCATTGTGTGTCCTGCTTCCCCATACTGTCTCTGTGCTTCAGCAGAGGTCAGACATGGGGTTGAATGCAGGATTTGAGGACTTAGGAAGGCCTGAGATAACCAAGGTCCAGCTGAGGACATGTGAAGTAGGTCATGACATTGCTGACATTATCCTCATCACATAAGATCAGATTTACTCATAATACTCTTCTGTGGTCATTGCACATTGGGACTGAAAGGAGAGGCTACAACTTGACATTTGTGTAAGCCCTATTCCAGGCATCTATTGCTAAGTAAAACCACACCAAATGTAGTGGCATAAAACAACCCCAAGCGTTTCTTCTTCCCATTATTCCTCATGGTTCTGGTTTGACTGGGCCCAACTAGGCAGTTCTCTCCAGGGATATCCCCTGGGTGCAGTCAGAGGGTGGCCAGGCCTGGAGACTTGCATATTAGGAGCTTGATGCTGGCTGTTGGCTGGGCCTCTCAGCTAGGACACCTGCACAGAGACTTTCCATGTCGCCTGGGAAGAGCATGGCTGCCAAGTTCCGTCACGAAGTGTTATTAACTCTATTATCAAGGTAGTTGAAGGGGACATGGATTCTATCTTTTAAAGGAGAGGGATACAGTTCTGGAAGAGGATGTGGGTCTAAAAATATCATAGAGCCTTTTGAGAAACGCAGTCTGCCATAAGGCATTCAGGGAATCCTCCCAGTAGCAGCTGCCTTAGCTTTGGCAGGCCCCATTCCCCGCCTTGGTCAAGGTCACAGGCTTGGGCAGCTTCTCACTGGCACCCCGTGCTCTCCTGCCACGGCTGCATTTCCTGAGTCCCCAGCAGGTAGAAGATCACAGAGGGCCATCCTTGACTATCCATCACCTCTTCACAATCTCTCACCACAGATATGCGGGGTGGTGAATTAACAATACAATATTTAGAGAGAGATACAAATATTTCTCTCTAAAATTCCGCCGCTCAGCTCATCACCCCCTTCCAGATTTTTCTCTAAGAGGCCTGCTCAGGAAATGCCTTGCAGTAACCACTACAGGCAAAGGTGGCTTCTGAAAGGTGTCAGAAGTGAGTGGGGGGGTCTCTCCAGATAAAACAAAAGTGAAAGGAAGCCCTTAGGCCAGTAGTTCTCAAACCTAGATATAAATAATAGTTCCTAAAGAACTCATTAGAAATGCAGGTTTTTATTTGCTTCAGTTTCTGTAATTTTAACAATCACTCGGATGATGCTCTTGCAAATGGCCTGAAAACTACAGTGAGAAAGCTTTTCTCTGTAAGGTAAAGGGAAGAGCGGGGCACTGGTCTGCAGAAATCATGCCACAGTGGAGCCTCATCTCTGCAGCAAGCATCCCCGCGCGTTCCCACCTGGATTTGCGCTTAGAGATTGGCTATTCCCTGCTACCTGATCTCTCATCCTCCTCCTCCTCTTCATCCTCTTCCTCCACCCCCTCATTGCTTTTCTGGAGACAAAAAGTTTCTAGGGAAGTCTCCAGCCTAGGCTGTTGCAGGAGCCCCCAGCTCCTGGCTCCTCTCCTCCAATGCATTCTCCTAGGCTGTTGCAGGAGTCCACAGGCTGTTGTAGGAGTCCACAGGCTGTTGCAATAGTCCACAGGCTGTTGCAGGAGTCCTAGGCTGTTGCAGGAGTCCACAGCTCCAGGCTCCTCTCCTCCAATGCATTCTCCACTCTGACGCTGGGTGATCAATCTCCATGTACATCTGGCCCTTCCTGGTTTTTTTAGCAGCCGCCTATCACCAAGAGCAATGGTTCATTCTCAAAGTTGATCCCTGGGCCAGCAGCATCAGGATCACCTAGGAACTTATCAGAAACGTACATTCTTAAAAAAAAAAAAAGAAAAAAGAAATGTACATTCTTGGTCCCTACTCCAAACCTGCTGAATCAGAGACTCTGGAGGTGGGTCCAGGAGTCTGTGTTTTAAGTCCTGTGGGTGATTCTGCACAGCTCAGGTTGGGGAACCTGTGGCCTACAAAATAACACCCAGCCTACTGCAGGGCAGCCTCTGGGGCTCCCTCCTCTCTCTCCACTGGTCTCCTGGCCCTGCCCGGTGCCCACATGACCTGATGCCACTGCCAGGCTTCTCAGAGCTCCCCAAGAGTAGCCTGCTTTTGCACATGTTGTTTCTGTTCTGAAATATTTTTTCCCAACAAGCTCCCCGAGAAACTTATACTCCAGCTTCACAATTTACAAACCTTGGGAGTCTCCTCGTCTGTGCCCCACACGCCTCTTGCCTGTCTACGACAGCCTTTCACCTGGCTGGAGTTATGGCTTCCGCCCCATTCCCCTTTTGTTACATGTAGACTGTGTGTGTTTAGAGGGCAATGTCGTATTCTAATCCTCTCTTCGATCTGAAAGTCCAACACAGAGCCTACACTACCGGGAGGGTTAGGAAATATTTAGTACTTGGCAAGGTGGCTAGCTGGCTGGCCAGATGACTAAATCCCCAACTTGGGAAGAAAAATAAAATAAGCCTTTGAATAAGCAGAAAACATTTATGTATTTTCCAGAATGCTATTAGGTATAATATTTCCACAACCTTTGCCCCATCGTATCAATTACCTATCAAATAAAAGTAAGTGAGGGCCGGGCGCAGTGGCTCACGCCTGTAATCCCAGCACTTTGGGAGGCCGAGGCGGGTGGATCACGAGGTCAAGAGATTGAGACCATCCTGGTCAACATGGTGAAACCCCGTCTCTACTAAAAATGCAAGAAAAAAAATTAGCTGGGCACGGTGGCGCGTGCCTGTAATCCCAGCTACTCAGGAGGCTGAGGCAGGAGAATTGCCTGAACCCAGGAGGCGGAGGTTGCGGTGAGCCGAGATCGCGCCATTGCACTCCAGCCTGGGTAACAAGAGCGAAACTCCGTCTCAAAAAAAAAAAGTGAGTGAGTAGAACTGCTAGTCCAGTTTGTAGACTCATTACAATAATGTTGAGGTCGTTTGATATCTTAGTGGTAGCATTTTAATTTATTCCCATACCCTTATTTTAGACTTAGGCTGATTTTGTTTAATGCAGAGCACAGGCCGTTTTGCATGATTAGTTATTTGTATTGATTTTTTTAAAGTCACCATATTGAAAATCATCATAGCTTATAAAACAAAAAGAACTCATATCATCTTAGAGATACTTGTCTTGCCGATTGCTCTGGCTACCTTGTGGGAATTTTAAGCATTTCTTTCCTGACATTCAAGACAGTTCTTTACACATTTCTCCAATTATCTGATTCAGAGTATTGGACCCCAGTGAACAAACCAAAGTTAACTCTTGTCTTTCCGTTTTCTAATGCAAAGGTATCAAAATATTCAGCGAACCATTGCAACAGAGAGGCCCGAAGAAGATTCTGGCAGCCAAAGCTGTGAGCAAGCCCCAGCAGGAGGCGGCGGAGGTGGAGGGAGTGACTCGGAAGCCGAATCTTCCCAGTCCAGCTTAGGTATTGGAGGAGGGGTCCCCAGAGCCTGTGATGGCTTCCAGGGGCTGTGTGACAGAGGACTGCAAGCCACTCACCCTGCCTCGTGGGGAACAATGTGCCCAGAGTGAAGAGAGTGGAGGGCCAGGGTGGAGGAGAGAAGCATGCCTGGTGCCCACAGGGGAAAGCAGAATGAACTTCCCACCAGGAAACAGGAGAAGTAATCATGGTGAAGGAAACACTGTCATCCTGGCACGGGGATCTGGAGACAGGAAAACAAATGATTCTGGGGATGGAGCTGAGTTTGCTATTGCACTTGTGAAGCAAGGCAACTTTGTCAGTGGCTCAATCATGTATTGTTCAGTAAATGTATTTGTTGGTGTCCTAAGGATTTTTTCACTTATAAATAAAACATACTTCACAATCTATTTTGAAGGAGCCATGTGACAACACTAGGAATAATCACTTGTTTGCACGTAAAGTAAAATTCCGTTCTCCCAAGAGAGGAACCTGGGAAAAGGTTTCCCAGCATGCCACAGGAGGGAATTTTTACCGACTGCACTAGGCGTTCACCCGGGGCCTGGTTTGTCTGGTTTTCATTTCTTTGAATTTACCCGGGTGGAACTCAGACAAGGATAATCAAAAGGCATAATAATGGCCTCCACTTCTTTTCTTTAACCTGTAATGGGATAAGATTATCACAGTGACATTCTATTAATCCACTTTCTTTTTAAACTGGGTAAATGATGCCAGATTTATTTGCCAAACGAAGGCTTTAGAGAACCGTCTGGGCCAGCAGCACTGGGATTCCAATCCTGCCAGGTCTCAGCCGTCTATGACAATGCAGAATCTTGGACATTTTCATGTGATTTTTAAAATGCACATCCACAATTCCACCACCAATTTTAACTCCCCCCTTTCTGTTATTCATTTTACCAGATATGCTAACTAACCAACTAGTTTAAGTTTTTCTATTATTATTTATTTTATTATATTTTTGAAAACAGAGTCTCTCTTTGTCACCCAGGCTGGAATGCCTTATTATGGTGCTATCATAGCTCACTGCAGCCTCAAACTCCTGGGCTCAGGCAGTCCTCCCAACTCAGCCTCCTGAGTACCCGGGACCTCAGGCATCTACCACCATGCCTGGCTAGAGATCGAGACCATCCTGGTCAACACGGTGAAACCCTGTCTCTACTAAAAATACAAAAAAAAAAAAAATTAGCTGGGTATGGTGGCGCGTGCCTGTAATCCCAGCTACTCAGGAGGCTGAGGCAGGAGAATTGCCTGAATCCAGGAGGCGGAGGATGCGGTGAGCCGAGATCGCGCCATTGCACTCCAGCCTGGGTAACAAGAGCGAAACTCCGTCTCAAAAAAAAAAAAAAATTTTTCATTTTTTTGTAGAGACAGAGTCTTGCTATGTTCCCCAGGCTGGTCTCAAATTCCTGGCTTCATGCGATCCTCCGGCCTCAGCCTCACAAAGTGCTAGGATTACAGGCGTGAGAAGCTGCACCTGACCTGTTATTAATTTCTTTGTTCAACCCGCTGAGAGAGATAAGGTACAATAGCTAAGAAATTAGAAATATGAGGAAAAAGCAACAGAAAGTTCATTTCTGAGTTTGATATTAAATCAGTTGGCATTTACTGTATTAAAAAGATCCCACAATTAGTGACTGAAACTGACAACCATGCATCTACCCCACAGTTCTGCAGCCTGGCTATTTGAGCGGAGCTTAGCTGGATGGCTCCTTGGGATGCTGCTGGGCTCACCTGTCCGTCTTGGGTCAGCTGTGGAGTCGGCCATGGGCTGACCTGAGATGGTTGCCAGTAAGGTGGCTTGTCACTGATCCTGTGGCCCTGTGGCTTCTCATCTTGCATCAGGCTCACCCAAGCTTGTTCTCATGGCGGTGGCAGGAATACCAGAGAGTGGAGACACAGGTCTCTTGAAACCCTGATGCAGAACTGACCAATTGTCACTTCTGACATGTTCTGTTGGTTGAAACAAGGCACAAGGCCGGCCCCCAATTCACCAAGGGGAAGAGCAGAGAAGTCCCAATGCAACTGGGTGTGGGTATAAGGAAGAGAGGAACTGTGGTCCTTTCTGCAAACAATCTATCACAGCTCTGGTTTGCAACTTGTAAAGGAAATAAGAAAAAATAGGCAGGCATGGTGGTGCATGCCTATCGTCCCAACTACGCAGGAGGCTGAGTATATGGGAGGATGGCTTGAGCCCAGGAGGTCAAGGCTGCAGCGAGCTGTGATCACCTGGCTGCACTCTAGCCTGGGCGACAGAGCAAGACCCTGTCTTAAGAAAGAGAGAGAGAGGAAGGAAGGAAAGAAAGTATGAACAAATGAATGAATGAGCGAAAGAAAAAAAGGAGGTAAGGAAGGAGGAAGGGAGGGAGAAAAATCATTGTGATAAAAGGGGAGAGATGTTAGAAGACTTGAGTCTTATTGAAGTTATATAGAAACACTACTAGGAAGTGATGATTCTTAACTGACATACATAAAGTAATGGCACTCGGTGTAAATCTAACAGTCTGCTGTGTGGGTGAAGGCATGTGTGTTGCTGCCGTCAGGAGGGAAGCACAGAGGTTGAAATGCCCTTTTCCCAATGTGTTCTGTTGCTTTCCTTCACTTTTTGTAGATCTAAGGAGAGAAGGGTCACTTTCTCCGGTGAATTCGCAAAAAATCACCTTGCTGCTGCAGTCCCCAGCGGTCAAGTTCATCACCAACCCGGAGTTCTTCACTGTGCTGCACGCCAATTATGTGAGTGCCCTGAAAGGCGGAGGGGGCAGCCTGGCTCAGCAAGACCCAAAGCACAGCTTGGTAAAGTCATCTGATAGATCTAAAAGGCTACACTTATAACATAAGCAACAAAAAACAAAGACAGCTCAGTCCACTCTTTTGACTGTCTGTGAGTCTCCCAAAAAAAAAAAAAAAAGGCTGGATTTGGAATTGCCATTGCCTCTGTTAGGCTCAAATGTGTTGATGTCAGTGAAAGTGCTTTGGAAACAAACCTGTTTTCATTATTATTAAAACTTTAACGGAGCAAGATTATGAAGTGGCCAGATTCCCTGCAGCCTAATCATTTTATAAAATCATTTTCACTGATGAAATTTTAAAGCAGAGTTCTTCTAGGTAAACAACGAGGTTTCTTTTTGATACGGTTTTTCAAATGTCATGCTGAAGTTAAATTCGATGTGATTTTACCTATGTAGTTTTTTCATTGCATTTCTTTTGTATTTTCAAGAAAGCAATGTCATGTTATCACTATATTCACTAATTTTTCATTCAACAAACATCTTCTGCGGTTCAGGCTCAGATCTAGGTGCTGGAGTCACAAAGACAGATTAGGGTGACATCTAAACAATAGGAGCTTCCATTTTGTGGAGAAATGACATGAAACAAATCAGCTCAATGTGACAGGACCAAGCGAACTAAGGGAGGACAGAATGCTCTGGGGGTGCCAGGGAGCATTCCTGGGGAGGCAGCTGAATTGAGTCCTGGAGGTTGAAAATGGACAAGAAGAGGTCCAGGCAGAGGGACATCTGTAGAAAGGATGTACCCGTGCCGGGTGTGGTGGCTCACTCTCATAATCCACCCCAGCATTTTCAGAGGCCGAGGCAGACAGATCACAAGGTCAGGAGATTGAGACTATCCTGGCTAACACGATGAAACCCTGTCTCTACTAAAAATACAAAAAATAAGCTAGGCATGGTGGCACATGCCTGTAATCACAGCTATTTGGGAAGCTGAGGCAGGAGAATCGCTTGAACCCGCGAGATGGAGATTGAAGTAAGCCCAGATCACGCCATTGCACTCCAGCCTGGGCGACAGAGCAAGACTGTCTCAAAAAAGAAAAAGAAAAAAAAGGATACACCCGTGAGGAGGCCTGGGAAATAACTCCAGGGTGGTGAGTGTGGGTGGCTGGTAGGAGGGAGAGGGGAGGAGAGGCTGGAGATTGGGCAGTAGAACACCTGGTAAGTCGTGCACAGGAGCCTGGATCTACGACAGCAGGTCACAGGAACCAACAGTAACACTGAGGCTACCTGACCAGGGGGTTGATGATGCATTTTCTCTGGCAGAGTATCAGGGAGAGACTGAGCTGAAGCCGTTAAGATACAGGCTGATTCAACCGCTGAGTGAGAGAGGATCTGGCTCTGACCTAAGGAAGGGGCAGGAGCATGGCAAGGAATGGCTCCATTCAGGGACATTTCTCATGGATTCATCAGCACCTGGGTCCATTGTGATCATGGATGGGTGCAAGATGAGGACTCTAGAAAGACAGCGTAGTTTCTGCTTTGGGCGCCTGGGTGAGGCAGTGACCCCACTAAGCTGGAGCTGGAGTTTGACTGGGTGATGGAGGGCGTGCTGCAGAGATGGGGATCAGTTTTTAACAAGTTATTTCGGAGAAGCCTGTGGGATTCCCAGTGGCTAGATTCTAAGCAACTCCCCAGAGGTGCAGTGGGAGCCACAGGGAAAATGCACATGGCACATGGCCATGCCCCAGCCCTGGTGCAGGTGGCCTTGGGTCAGCAGGAGCCACTGGCCCAACCTCCTGCCTATACACGGTCTGTCCTTTCAACGGCCCCGCCCTCCCACACACACACACCAGTTCTGTGTACCCTCACACTGTCATTTCTTTCTTCATCTCATCCCTTCCCCCAATACCTACACACACACACACACACACACACAGACACACACACACACACGTTTTTACATAGTGTTCAAAAAAATGACAGACCTCTCATGTCCAGCCTTCAATCTAGGGGCTCTAAATTAATGCTCCCCCTTTTAGACAGGTAGGAGGACCAAAGACAGACCTCAGCAGTCAGAGAAGGGACCGTGGAAGAGAGGGAGGACTGAGGATTCAGACAGGTAGAGGGAGGCCAAGGAGAACCAGGCATGGCTGAGACAGCAGGAAGACCGTGTGGAGTCGCACAGAGAGGTGGGCCATGTCCCAAGCTGCCCAGCACTCAGGTGGAACAGGTGTCACAGATAGGTCCATGTGAGCCAAGGGGGCGTGTTTCAATGCACATTTACTTCTTTTTCTTTTCTTTTTTTTTTTTTTTTTTTTTGGAGACAGGGCCTTGCTCTGTTGCCCAGAGCTAGAATACAACAGTAAATCAATCCACATTTACTTCTTTTTCTTTTTCTTTTCTTTTTTTTTTTTTTTTTGAGACAGGGCCTTGCTCTGTTGCCCAGGCTAGAATACAACAGCACAATCACAGCTCACTGCAGCCTCTATTCTCAGACTCAGGTGATCCTCCCACCTCAGCCTCCCAAGTAGCTGGGACTACCAGCATACACCACCATGCCCAGCTAATTTTTTAAATGTTTTGTAGAGATGGGATCTTACTGTCTTGCACAAGCTGGCCTCAAATTCCTGGGTGTTTACTTCTTGAGCAAGAGCTCATTTTCTGAGGCTTCCACCTCACGTTCACAATAAACCACTGTGTCATATTCACACTTAGCAGTGTTAGGGTGCTCACAGTGTGCTTGCTCTGTGTTTTCCCTACTTCCCCACTACCTACTCCGTCCGCCCTGACCCATCTCAGAGTGCCTACCGAGTCTTCACCAGTAGCACCTGCTTAAAGCACATGATTCTGAAAGTCCGGCGGGATGCTCGCAATTTTGAACGCTACCAGCACAACCGGGACTTGGTGAATTTCATCAACATGTTTGCAGACACTCGGCTGGAACTGCCCCGGGGCTGGGAGATCAAAACGGACCAGCAGGGAAAGGTGAGTGTGACCCACGTGCAGAGCTTTCATCAAACAGGCTCCTTCCCCAAAGAGAAGACTAGTGAGGACGTGAGGAGGAGGGTGTGGGGAGGAGTTGTGTCCAGGAGATGCGCTATCGACCGCCAGCAGGAAAGGGGGTGAGAACCATCCACATGTGGGTTGGGGAGAAGGGGGCCAGGCCAGGGGAATACCCTGTGCTTTACGGGTCATTAGCAGCATTCCTATCCCTCATACCACTAGATGCCAACCACGGTGACATTGCTGTGTCGCCACGGGAGCAAAGTCACACCTGGTTAAGAACCACTGTCTACGTCTTTTTAAATTTAGGTTTGGAACATGGAACCAGATTCCGTCCAATGACCTTTCTGTTGTTTGCCTCCTTAGACAGCTAACTCTCAGGATAAACTCATTGGTTAAATGCAGTACATTGTTAGATTATTTGTTGTGATTTCCCTAATACACCTTAAGTTAAAACAGCCTAACAAGCAGGGTGGGGTGTGCTGGGCCTATGTGATCTTCTTGGATTACATTTTGCTTCTGTGTAAACTTAGCTCAAACTGGGCCTTCCCTGCCATGCTTTAGAAGACCAGCTGAGTCTGAAAGCAAGTAGGTTTTTTCCTAATCTTCATCAGCTATCTCGATGTATTCAAAGGACTGGCCAAGTAATTTCCTAGAACTTAACTTGTGTAACCTACTATGAAATTTACTAGAGAGAATCATTCCCTCTTTTACGGTCCAAAGAACCAGGAGCTTTGCCTGCAATTATGTCTGCGACATGTCCTTTCCTCTGTGAATGTGAACCTGCAAAGCCACATTTTCCAAAGAGAACTGATGGGACACCAGTGTGCCCTGAAAGCCATGAGTTTCTGTCCTGCAAACCGCTAGTATACCTCAGAACATGGACTCTCTCGAGTGTGTGGGGAAAGAATGGGGGACTCCTTACAAGTCTATTCATAAAATGAATCTCTAGGACCAGCTCCTCTGTAACCAGGAATGAATTAGGGGAGGGGAAAGAGTATGCCCTGTGTAGTAGAAAGCCACCGTAACCAGGATCTGTTCCCTGGGACTTTCTCATTGACTGGACCTGTTGGAAGAGTGACAATGATTTGTATGTGGGGACTTGGTGATGTGTATTAGGGTGGGAAATGAAGCCTGAGCCAGAACAGAAAGTAAAGGAGCGGCTTATCAGAGCTGGGTATGGGTAGCCACGTTTACATTTATTGCATAACGGGGATGGCAGTAGGACACCACTGTGTTCATCATGCAAACAGCACACACCAATGTGAACAGCTTGCTGAACCTTAGATTTCCATGACTGCAGCTTTTGTACCAGGTTAGGGATGACAGGGAGGCTTCCCAATGCCATAAGCCCTGGTTCTCCATGGTACACACACAGATGATGTGACATCTCCTGGTGATCACACCAGCAGTGAAGCACAGAGGCTGAGATGCATTCTGAGAGTTTCGTTCCATTTGGGAATGCATATGAGGAAATTTCTGGCAAGAGCTCTTCCCCCTAATTCTCTTTAGCAAGAAGATATCATGCATGAGAAAGAAAAAATCTGAATTTGAAATGAGAAGATGTGTATTCTACTTTCAGTTATGACACAAACTAGCTGTGTGCCTACACACTCATGCACGCACACACACAAATGGTCTTACCAATTTCTTATTAATTGAACACACATATACACACTCTTCGTGGCAGAATGTCTACGAAGCATACCATGTGGCGAATTGCTGGGGAAAGTAGCCTTAGACTTGAAATGTATTGTCACAGTCTGTAGGGTGGTCAGCGAGGAACAAAGGAGGATAGTGGGAACAATACATGGACCAGTCCATCTCAGTCTAAATACCTGACCCTGTGCAAGTCACTTTACCTTTCTGAGCCTTAAAATAGCAACAGTAATGCCTATGTTGCTTTCATGATTTTACAATCAGATAAATAAGTTACCAAGTTAATGAAGGAGTGCTTGATAATATCATGACAGATTAGTAGTATCTACCATTAATAATCTAAGATCAAGACTGGTAAGTGGGGGAAATAAAAGAGTATCTCATTGCCAAAGCCCATTGATGGGAATAGATTGAGAAAGATATGTTTGGACTGTGTGTTACAGGCTTCACCCTCTAACTTGGATAGGATATTGCTGCACAGGAGACCGAAAATTAGGAATACAACTCACTATAAAATGAGGTGGCCATAGCTCACTATGCAAAAGCCACCTTCGTCACCTGCCAGAGCAGGTCCGTGCCCCTCACCCTGGCCAATCTGCTTCTTGCTTTATCAACACATTCAAAGAGGGCAATCATTGCTTTTATTATGCACCATGGTAGGAAGTAGAAGGTCTGGGCAGCACTGGTTGGTGTCTCTGAATGCATGGTCAGCTCTACAAAGGGGACAGAGGTAAGAGGCTCAGAGCTCTGCTGCTTCAGAAGGACCCGGGCAGTAAACACACTGGCCTCTGACTCATCTGCCATCTTCAGAGTCTGAAAAAAGAGGACAGAGCCTTCTGCCCAGTTTAATAGAGATTGCACATGTCCCTCACACCTCATTCCCAGTCTGAGCTGAGGGACAGTCACCATCAGAGAGGTAAGGCAGTGGGCCCCATGGGTCCTATCTTGTGGCAGACATGAGACCAAGGTGGCCTCTGCTGAGGAATGAATAAATAAAATGAGAAGGGGCCTAGGAAGAGACCCTACTGCAGAAAGGAAACAGAAACTTGGTCTGACAAAAAGCATGTCTTTTTTTCAGAAAGAATATTTATTCTCAGAAAGTATAATTTTCTTTGGAAAATAGAACTGTTTAAAAGACATCTATTCATCATCCATGAAATGGTACAGAGGCACATGACTTCTGTTATTAACCAAGAGGAAGAAGCCACAAACAGAAAACAAGCTGAGAGGAAACAGACATAAGAAAGTAGTCTGAAAATAGCTGTTTTAAGATTGCAGGGAAAAGCAAAAGGTAATAATAGCATAGGGATAAAACAGAGCAGCACTGATGCTATGTGAAATCTCATCACTGATATGGCATATGAACATGGAAACAGCCCCTAAAACAGAAGGAAGGGACCAGATTTCAATCAGTGGCAGAGAAAGTAAAAAGAAAAAGAAAAAAAAATGCAAAAACTGAAAAAAGAAAAAATTTATCTTCTCTATGCCTACCCTAACCATCCAAGTTAATACCACAGCCTTCCCCGACCCCTAGGTCATGTGCTCCCCCATGTCACTTACACATTTATTAGGTTTATTGCTTATTGTCTGTTTCTTATGGCAGAATTTTAAGCTTTCTGAGAACAGAAATCTTTGGTTTGCTCATTAATATAACATCAAGGGCCTAGAATAGTGTCTGATAGATAGTTGGCACTCAATAAATCTCTGTTACACCAATGGCTTGTACGGTAACTTGAGGAAAGAAACCAGAATACTAGGTACAGTAGGAAAAATTAAATATTAAATATTAAAATTAAAACTTTGCTGATCTAAAATAAATTATTGAGGTGTGCAGATTAATTGGGCTCACTAGATTACAGTGAAGGTAATTGAAATACATTATATGTCTACACATGTACTGGGATATCTTTAAATAGAAATTCTTTAAAAATCCTACCAGTATGCAGCCATGAGAATATAAAAGCTACCTACAAAAGAATAAAAATCAGGCCAGGCATGGTGGCTCACGCCTGTAATCCCAGCACTTTGGGAGGCAGAGGCAGGTAGATCACAAAGTCAGGAGATCGAGACCATCCTGGCCAATATGGTGAAACCCCGTCTCTACTTAAAATACAAAAATTAGCTGGGCATGGTGGTGGGCGCCTGTAGTCCCAGCTGCTCAGGAGGCTGAGGCAGGAGAATCGCTGGAACCTGGGAGTCGGAGGTTGCAGTGAGCCAGGATCACACCACTGCAATCCAGACTGGGTGACAGAGAGAGACCCCGTCTCAAAAAAAAAAAAAGAATAAAAATCAGACAAGCTTCAAAATTCCCATCCAAAAAATGAAAGTAGAGAAATGCACAGAGCAATGACTCCAAGATATTGATGAGAAAAGATTGTAGCCCAATAGTCCTAAATACAGGCAATGATTGCTATTCATGGGTGAAAACAGAAAAACAACCTCATGTGCAAAATCAGAGCTTACCCTACTCTTTTACCCATCCTGATTATTATAGTTTGCTGGTTAATATGGTTTATTTGACCCCTTCAAATCTCCCACTGGAATTTAGTCTCTACTGTGGCAGTGTTGGAGTGGGCCTAGTGGAAGGTGCTTGGGTCTAGATCCCTCATGAAGGACTAGTGCCATCCTTGCAGTAATCAGTGAGTTCTCACCTTATTAGTTCTCTCAAGAGCTAGTTGTTAAAACGAACCTGGCACCCACCCCCTATCCCCGCTCTCTCTGGCTTCCTCTTTCACCGTGGAATCTCTGCACATGCTCCCCTTCACCCTCCACCATGAGTGGAAGGAAGCAGCCTGAGGCTTTCACCAGACACCCAGTCTTCCAACCAGTAGGATCATGAACCCAATAAACTTTTCAGCTTTATAAATGTCCTGGTCTCAGGTATTCCTATAGAGAAACACGAACAGACTAAGACACTGATGAAACACCAAAAGCCATTCTCCAGATGGCTCGGTAACAAATCAAAGCACAACATTAACAGTGAGAAAACGATAGTATAAAAAGGACTAGAGAAATCCACAGAGCAATCAAATACATAAATATAAATAAAAGTCATTGTTCTTAGAATGCTTTAAAACATACTGGAAAAGCCTAAATCAAATATGGAGAAGTCGTATAATACAAATGGAATAGTTGTATAATAACAATCTGGATCAATATCACCAGACTGGAATTTTTAAAAGTGAGAAGAGGGAAGATAAGCAGGGGAAGGAAAGTTATGCTGAGTTACTAGTTGGGCTCAAGGGGAGTAAAACTGGATAATTTTACAAACAAAGACTAAATATAGTAATTTGACAAGCTTAAAAGGCAACTGTTTGTACCAT